CACTTGGAAATCAAATTAGGGTCATCGCCATCTCCTCCCGCGTCGCCGCCTACGGCCTCGTCTACAGGACACTGCGCATGGTGGCGTGGAAACGAAGACAAGGCCAAGAGGTATGAGGACTACGCGCGCAGAATGAATGCTTGGATCAAGCCCCTCGTAGACCTGGACAATCTGATCGATAACTACATCGATGGTTGAACAAGGAACACCAGTAACTTTCAAGAAACTACCCTGCTGCCTACTTACTAGTACTATGCAGCAGATCTCCGCCCAATAAGTTGAAAAAACCCAGTTAATTAAGACCGTGTATGAGCTCTACTATGTCTGAGAACTTACGTACTTATATGCTGTGTTTTAAGTGTGTGCATGGAATGAATGGATAGATTTACTAATATTAATTGGTCTATGCTGTGTTTTAAGTGTGATGAGGGAATGGATCAATATTCGCACAATAATTCATGTATCAGATCAACTGTTAAAACATGTTGTGTGCACCAAAGATTTTTCATCATGCTAATGATTAAAGCCACATATACGAGCAATAGGACAAGCACCATTTCATAATAGATGTATCAGATCAATTGTTAAAACAAACATGTTGTTCGTGAGCTCCCAGGGCGGGCATGCGAGAAAAAGAGATGCGTGGACGCTTGAGGAAGAAGAGGAGGACGATCACGTACCTCGTAGAGGAAGTCGAAGGACCCTGATGTAGCAGGCTAGCAGCAACATGTAGCAGTCCTTGTAGTAATGGCGCCCCGACTGGTCGTAGAGCGTGTCCTGCGCGCCCAGGAATCGGCACCCAACGAACGCCGCGTTGTCCGCCGACACCCGCAGCGCCACCGCCTGCTTCCCCGTCGCCCCGGCGTTCGGCACCGGCGTCGTGTTCTGCCAATGCAAGCGTGCGCGCGAATTAGGACACCCAATCAACATGCTTAGGGCTAGACATGGGGTAGCGAGTAGCAGGTACAGCAGCGGCGGTACATATTTTAGAGTGTAGATTCGCTCATTTTGCTTCGTATATAGTCACTTGTTGAAATGCCTAGAAAGACAAGTATTTAGGCACGGAGGGAGAACATGGATAAGTTAGTAGTGGGACCTATGTGTCATCAACTTAATAAAAGAGAAGAATCACGTGTACATGTTTTCTTTAGACCAGCATGTATGTATAGGTTGAAGCACAGCTCAGCCGACGGCCTTGTAAAGCCCATTGAACACAGTGGCCTTACTTATCTTCAGCATAGCCCGCAGCCTAGCAAGCCTAGAATAACGACGTCCCCTGTTTACAGTGTAGGTTGACACTCGTCGACCAAACGTACACCGGGAACTCCTATCCGCCGCATTTTGTGGCAAATAGACTCACGATGCACACATACACAACCTTGCTGCCCCGCAAACCTCCTGTTGTTATGCACTCAAACCTAGCCTTTGAAACCACTGAACTTTTGTAACCAAACGAGCAGCACGGAGTTTTTAAGAACTATAAGCAGCGACAGATTTGATTTTTTTTGAAAATTTTGAATGTGTCTTTTTACGAAAAATGTATACTTTTTGAAATGCAAATATTTTTAAAAATTATGAATAAAATTTCTAAAATTCATTTGTTCAATTTCCGACTATATTTGGAACCCTGAAAACGGAAAAAATTCTCGAAATTATGAACAACTTGAATATTTTTTAGAACAATTTACTAAAAAATAAGAACATTTTTTTGCATCTGAGGACAATTTTTGAAACAATTTTTTAATCCACAAATAAATATATGAAATTGCGAACTTTGTTTAAATACTCAAACATTTGTCAAAAACACAAACTTTTTTGAATCTGCGAACATGTGTATATGTTTTGTTAAGACCAGCATGCAAGTATAGGTCGAAGCGGAACACAACCCATAGCTAGCAAAACGCCCTCTCTTTAGATTTTTTTGAGCTCGCCTTTGCTAGGGTGGGGGCAAGGTGGGGTGGTGTATGCCAGCTCTGGCCG